GTTAAGAGAAAGGTGAGTGCTAGTTCTAGCACTAGCATCGAGCACTACACGTAACTTGGACGTAAGTTTGTCTTCCCTAATGACACCGTGATGTGGTATGAAATACAACGGCGCGTCTTGGCGAAGCGAGCATCCTGCGCTCCAAACAATAGAAACTTCAGTGACGCGAGTCGCCGAGAGACAAAAACATCTCCTTTAAAGGGTAGCTCTACACTATATCAACCGTCGCGATCACGAAAGGTCGTGCGGACGTAAATTTCCTCGCATAATCTATCATCTGGGTTAACTATAGGTGGAACGTTCACCTCCTCCATCTCCCATAATTTGCGAACTAACGACTCCAGCGGTTCGACAGCCGTACAACAATAAGAGGTTGCCGAAATATTATCCATGATAGGGGCGGAACCAACGATGACGTAGCGTAAGGCAAGGTCTCCAGTGCGTAAGGCGCGGTATGCGAGGAGTTGCCCCTGACCTTATTGTGTAACAAAAGATGAGGAAAAAGCGATGCTCCAATGAGCATGTCTATATCTCCGGGGACGGCGTAAGTATCGTCTGCCAGAGTCAAATTCTCAAAATCAATCACTGCCGAGGTGTCGACCGAAACGGTTGGCAGACGCTCGGGGACTTTATCTACTACTAATGCATTTATATTAAAGTTAATACTACGATCTAGCCGAGAATAAAATTTCAAATTTATAGGGGTAGTTTACCCTGGGTAATTTTATTAGTACCTCCAATGCCTTTGACTACTGGACATGAAGGTATCTTATTTATTAACAATCCTAAACGCTGGCAACATTGTCGTGTTATAAAGCTACTCTGTGATCCGCTGTCTAGCAACGTACGGATACTTTGTTCGTTTCCACGCGAATCTCTAACTACGATACGGGCTGTACCCAGCAACACGGTGGAAGGAGACTGCGTTCCCGTATTCGATAGTGAGCACAGGGCGACGTCATCCGGTCGACCGTTAGAAGCGTCGACTTTAGTATGTGTAGTTTCCTTGTCCGAATTACTCGACGCGAATATGTTCACCTTCGAATGTAATAACGTGTGATGTGCTGGCGCACTTGTTACACACGGAACTAGAATTGCATTTAGTAAGTAAATGTCTATCGTTTAGGCAATTTAAACATAAGTTGTTCGTCTTTACTATTCCATAACGTTCGATAGCTGAATGTTTACGGAAGGTCGCACAATTCTACAAATTACCGTGTTGTTTATTCTTATATAGAACACAGGCCCTATGAGGCGATGTAGGCGCAGCGGTTACGTACGTCAGAGACCCAGCGAATATTAAATTAGAGGGTATTGTCCAAGGAATCATTCAATATCGCATTTCTGTTCAGTATATCACTTGTGAGAGATCTTTGAAGTTAATGAAGATTAAAATTAAAAAATAAGTGTGATGCTGCTTATTTACTAAAAATGTGCTGTTTACGCCCGATCGTTACAAGCTGGAGCTTGCGGGACGCTAGTCCAGGGCGAGGGGCCGGTTTGCGCGGGGGGGGGGGGCGTTCGCCTTGCGCCTACGGCGGTGCCATCAGTCTGGTAGAATTTTTGAACGCTGTGGCCGTGCCGGTGGGGGTCGCGGGATTAGTCTAGAAGAAGAAGAATCTTTGTGCGCAACGACCGTGTCGATTAGAGTCGCGAGTTACCTAAGAATTGCTACGTCGCATCACGACGGCCTCCATTTTGTTGTTTTATTTCGTTACTATACGTGACAACGAGGCTTTTCTTTTGAGTTTTGAGTGACTATTTTAACTTCGATTGCTATTAATTAGCAACGACGCGTGGCTTGTGTTGTGTAGTTAATATTGTACGAAGGAATTTTGATTTATCAGTTGAACGCTAAATTTTGTAATCCGGGTGGACATAGCGCTCGATTATAGTTTGTGCTAAGTGACGTTAAACTTTGAGTTCCGATAGCGGTAAACGCCTTGTGGAGCGGTCAACGCATGTGGTTCTGCTGAACGATTTCCTCGGTGACGTCAGGTTACATTATACACTTTCCTACACCACTTACACATACCATTTACTTACCCCTGACGGTGCCTTGTGGTCTACACTACCTTCCGAGCTCGGTAAGTTTGCTTATACAGCCGTTATAAATTAGTTATCCATAGGCCATTAGGGCCCTCCCCTCAGTTGCTCGTCGAGTTGGGTTACTAAGGGCCCTAGCCCAGTCGACTTTCGTCGGGGTAACTGAGGGCCGTAACATATGCAATACTGGCTATTGGTCGCTGCATAAAATAAAGGTCGCATTGAAAGTTAGCAAACACTCAATCTCGCAGTTTGAGAAAGAAAATATGAGACGTGAAAATATTGACTCAAATACACGTTTGAGCCGTAAATGACATGGGTTGCCAGAAGCCATGATACTTAAATGAATTCCGCGATGATATATTATTGTATCCAAATTTAGTAAAATTTGAATGTTGACAGGAAAAAAATATGGGGATTAGAATAGAAGAAGGGAAATTATATATTTGCGAACATTTCACGCGTAAATAAATTTATATAAGTGTAGTGTAATATGTAATAATCGTATAGTCGCGGTGTAAGAATTATCCACTACTCCATATCATCCCGTGAGTGTCATCAGAGGTGACAGAAAGAAACTGAACTAGAGGAGCACATTTCTGATAATAGCTGCTTCAAAATAGAAAAACTACGGTTGCCAACACATTTGGCAAGCGTGGCGACTAAGACAAGTATTTCAGTGTATAATGTAGTCTTCGGAGGATGGCCCATGTTCAGCACTGAAAATTGTATAGGCCCTATTCTCATAGCATATCGTTGTTAGTTAAGACTGTGAGAACTTTTTTATTTAAACTTCAGTGTCTTTGTTGACTTAGCAAGCCATATATTAGCGGTGTTAGAATATCCATTAACATATCATACAATCATATCATCCCGTGGGTGTCGTAGAAGGCGACAGAGGGAAAACAACAGAAGATGAGAAGCACCTTCTTCTTCAAGAAAGCAATAATAATAAAACATTTTTCCTAAAGCCAACCCGCTAAACGTGACTCTTAATGTATAATGTATATCCACTCCATGTCCCGACGTTAACAGAAAACCCAGCAGTGGACTTTAACAGGTTGATAAAGTAGAAGAACAATCGATTTACTAATGCTAGGGTTCAATTTTTTTAATAGATTAATGGTGAAAAACGAGCGCACAGTCCGCCTGATTGTAAGTGGATACTTAGACCCGTCGACATCTGCATTTATCCTCGATTTTGAATCAAAATGTAGATGTGTTGTTACCCCTGAGAACTAAGATAAAATGCCCCGTTTCCAGCAAATGAAGTCTCCGGTTCTCTACCTACTACACAAAACACAGCATTAAGCTGCTATTTTACGTTTGTATTCTATTCTCTCCCGGTCGAACCGACCCATTCGTGCTACAACCATAATATCGTTGCAGCGTGGCTCTACCGCATATACTTCCATTCCGCAAAGTATTCCGTCTGCGTTAATAACACCATTTTATTACTTCTATTCTAAATGCACTCTTACTCAACTAGCCTTTTGTGTAAGAGTATGAAACGTAATAAATAGTATGAAATTTTAATCTTATTTTAATCCATAGGAAATATTCTCAGAAAACTGGAAATTTGACAGAAACTATACCAGTATAATAATACGATAATCCCGTATCATCCCGTAAGTGTTACCTTATGATAAAGTGGTGACAAAAGGAAACAAGAGATGGGCAGCACAAAAGCTTTCAACTAACAACACAAAATAATAAAAAACTGTGGATGCCAACCCCCCTGCCAACCGTGGAAACAATGGCAGCAGCTTTTGTTAAGCAGTGGACTTTGATGGGCTGAGGGGATAATGTGATGATGTTGTTTCAATTGAGCTACAAATGCATCATGCTCTGAGGACTGAAATGTAATATCTCATAGACATAAACGTATAAAAGTATCTATTTTCTAATACTCGAAGTAAGTCAAAGCACTAATCTCTTTCTAACTTAAAGTAAACCCTTTTCCGACCTATTTATTTTTCAATTAAAACATTTCAAAAAAGGAGTTTTCACATATTTATATTTGAATAAAAAAAGTTACATTAAAGATACATCTTTGTTTCCTAAGCTTTGTTCATAGCCGTAGAATATATAAACATTTTATTTATTTACTCATATTGTTGACTTAAACTAATGTCTGTGCGAAAACAGAACCTCGGGGCGGGAATGTTAACATTTATTTAGATAAGTACGTTTTTTATAGAACAAAAATGGCGAACGAGCACATAGTCCACCTGATGGTAAGTAGATACTGTGGTTCGTAGGCATCTAACTCTATCCTCAATTAAGAATAAAAATGCAGATAGAATGATTCGTATTCGGTTTAAAGAGTCTTTGGGGTGAAAAAAGTAAAGTAAAGTTTCAGCATATATACGTCCCACTGCTGGGCATAGACCTCCTCTCATTTCTGAGAGGGTTTTAGGGCAAGGGAGTGTCCGCCGCGCAGCCCCAATGCGTGTTAGCGAACTTCACATGTCTTCGAAAATATTATTTTTTCTTATTCCTCAGACATGCAGGTTTCCTCACGATGTTTTCCTTCACCGCCGAGCACGTGGTAAATCAGCACTCAAAATTTCAATTAACAATTGCATTTGTGCCTGCAGGGATCGAACCCGGGTTACTCACGTTCTGTTAAATTAAAGCGAGCGTTAACCATCTGAGCTACCACGGCTCTTTGGTGTAGTAGTAAAAAAAAAACTCAAAATCCTACTAGATAGAACCAATATTTATCATTCATGCGTCTGTTAGTGATTGTGTAACCTCTAAACAACTTGAATGTTTAAGGTTATATTCAAACAATGTATTTATTTTGTCGAGACAGTGGTTCATATTCTATGTTAGATTCCGATAGGGACGCTGTATTCGAGCTTTATATATTTACAAACTAAAATTATTCACATTTACAATATACAGTGCAACCTTAATATAACGTACATCAATATAACGACTTCCTCGATTTAACAAGTTTTTCGTGATCTCATGAGGCGTGAAACACAAGTGCGTTGATCTTGTTGCGTGTCGTTGGCGCGCTCCAGATGCTCGTCGATCTGCGAGAACTTCATGATCTGCCGCACCGGGCCGAAGATCTCTCGGCGCGCGATGTCCATGTGGTCGCACACGTCGCAGAACACGGTCGGCTGCACGAAGTAGCCAGAAGTAGTAGTTTCAAGAAAAGAAGTCTTGTTCTTGAAGTACTAAATACCGATTTACCTTCTGAGGTGCGTCTACGTGCTGTTTTCAAAAGACATAATGAAACGTCTCGCAATCAGTTTTGACGACTTCCACCCTTCCGAACAAGCTGATTTCCAAAATGGAATTAGTACCATAGACCACATACATACCCTTTGGCATACTTTGCCGGGCGTATGGAACTATGAGAAAACCGTCAAAATTTGGGCGGTGCTACAGTCCATACAGCGATGCCAAGTTGACTGTCGGTATATTGAAGTGCTAAAATGTTTGTACAGTTGGACTACGATGGCTATCCGAGTACAGAATATGAGTACAAAACCTATCCAACTGCAGAGAGGTGTAAGACAGGGTTACGTTATATCGCCAAAACTCTTTACCGCTGCATTGGAAAACATTTTCAATTATCAATGGCAATTAGATCACTCACCTTCGATTAGATGACGGTATAGTCCTTCTGATAGAATCGCTGGAGGACTTAAGCACTATGCTTACCTGTGTAAGATGAACATGAACAAAACAAAGATAACGTGTAACGTTGATGTCACACCTATACCGGTAGTTGTTGGGAGCACTAAGCTCCGAAGATGTTGACGAGCCTATTCACCTGGGACAAATAATATTGTTGCGAGCTTGAGGTTCGTGACAATAAAAACTGCCGATTGAATGTACACTTTTATTACCGAACACCAATTAAAACTTAAAAGACACTAATAATTATCACACTGATTCACTTTATTTCGCTCCGAAGCTTCGCTTGTTTACATGACGTCAACTCAGGCGCGCAACAACATGACTAGGTAAGTCCAACTTCGGCCGAGAGGTCAATCGACGGATTCAACTCGGCTAAAGCGGTTATTACATTATATAATTTTTAGGAAATCTAATTAGGAAATAGGAAGGTGTAATCGTAGTTAGAACGGTTAGGATCCGATTTAGTCAAATTGGAGGTCCCAATCGCTCTACTTCCGAAATTGTTTAAATTTAGGACAGTGTAATCGCAACGTTACGATTTAGAACAACCAGTCGGCGCCCGCGCTTTGATCTAAGTGGAAATATCGTGGCTTCTTTTTCAATATGTTTTGATACCAAACTTAATAAATAATCAAACTGTTTATAATCAACTCTTAAAAACTTTCTACAGTCGCCAGGTTCGAACATATGCACTATATTCATATTGGGCAGTTTTTTTTCTCAATTTATTCTTTAATCCAGTCTTTTCTCTTTTTCCTTTTTTTTATATCCATTGTTCCCACCACGGCTAAGGCAAGTCCTATTTTCTGCTATTTTGATAAATACGGCGCCATCGATCAAACGTGCAACCCCGTCGATACTTCTTTACGAATGCGCTTCGTCACGATTTAGAATTCAATTTAGTGTAGTGTGATCACTAGCTTCCAATTTAGGTTCCTAATTAGATTTTCTAAAAATTGTATAATGTAATAAGCGCTTAAGCAGCGTTCGGAAAATTATGACACATCTTCTTGTCAGTTATACCTCAAAACCTGAAATAGGTATTGTACAACCAGTGCATGTTGCCAGTAATGAGTTATGGAACTGAGACGTGGTCCTTTACTGCTGGCCGAAGATGTTCAAGATTGCTAAGCTAGCTATGGAGAGGGTTGGGGTTTATCTGCTTGTTAAACAAAGGAATGAGGATATTCGCAGTAGAACTAGAGCGAACTACATAGCCAAACGGATTAGTAAGCTGAAGTGGCAATGGGCCGACCATATAGCCTCATTTACATTCAGCCCCTGCCACTGCTCCTCGCGCTGCCGGCAATACTTCGCTGAATACTGCCGTAGCAGGATCGCGGGAAGTGTGTATTACACTCTGCCCTACCACTCACATCACTTTCGGCTTTCGACTATGGCAGACGTCGAACTCGAAATAATTACAGCGTCCACGCTGTGTCTTCTTGCAATACAAAATTATGTTAATAATTTAAAAAGATATCAAGTTCAAAAGAAGATAGATAGATGTAGATAGAAAATTTATTTGCTACTGGTACTGATGATTTTTTTGATTGAAATCAATGACGTGTAACTGACATGTTTTGCCATAATTGGCATTCATAAATGATATGAAATACAGCTAATTACACAAACCCTATGTTTTACATTTTAAAATTAGTACCCGGTTGACCGAGCTTTGCTCGGTATTTTTCGCTCGGTTTTTTTTAATTCGTGTGTTTTGGAAATTACATTTAGATACAAATTACATACTGATGAAATACGAATAATATTTTTTGATCTTAGCGACATAATAGAAAAAACTGAACTGGTTATTTGAATAAAAAATCATGAGTGCAATTAGTTTAATTTAACTTTTCGTGTTTTTAAAAAAATACTTGAAAAAGGACTCGAAAAAATAGATTTTCTCAAAAAAAGAAAGGAACTTAAAAAAATTAAAAAAGTCGGTCGGTCGGTCTGGGCTCGAACCATGGTATTACGATTTTGTGACCGCCCAATATGCCAATTAAGCTATTTGTAATCATTAATAAATTGTCAAAATTAACCTTCATATTCTAACGATATTGTACCAGTTTTTCATTGCCTAAAAACACGGATAAAAAGAAATTTTCTAAAAATAAATTCCTAGCTAGATCGATTTATTGCCCCCGAAACTCACTGCATACAAAATTTTATGAAAATCGTTGGAGCCGTTTCCGAGATTCCGATTATATACATGTAGCAAAAAATGTTCAACAAAAGACTTTCTCGTCAAACACATTTCACACAGTCATAAGCAAAAGAACTCGTATATCACTGCAGTTCGGACACAAGTGAAACCCCAACAAGTTCACCGCATCGTGGAATATATCCTCAGCGGTTTCTATCCTCGTCGTCATAAGACCATCGCGGTCTTTTTCGATATAGCTAAAGCTTTCGATAGAGTCTGGCACACAGGCCTCATCTACAAGCTCTACAAAATAGGTCTCCCCGATCGCCTAGTTCGTCTCGTGGCCTCCTATTTAAAACATCGTACCTTTCGTTTTAGACACGAAGGCACGCTTTCTACACAGCGAACTATCAAGGCTGGTGTCCCTCAGGGCTCAGTACTTGCTCCTCTGCTGTACATCCTGTTCACCAACGACATTCCCATCCCGTCGAAAGGTGTTCAACTCTCCCTCTTCGCAGACGACACTGCCATCTACTGCAAAGGTGTCTCACTACCCTTCATACGGAACAAGATCCAAAAGTCAGTTGATGACCTAGGAGCTTGGTTCAAAAAATGGCGCATCGATGTGAACCCGGAGAAGAGCTCCGCTGTTCATTTCGATTATAAACGACGCCGTCTCAAAAACACTCCACCAATACGTATGCTAGGGACCCCTGTCCCCTGGCATACGTCCGCCAAATATTTAGGTGTCACTCTAGACACAGGGCTCACTTTCAGGCCCCACGTCAAAAGAGTAACCCGTCACGCACGGTTTTATCTGAGTAGGCTCAACAAAAGTAAAATAAGTTGGGCCCAGTAAAATGTCCCTTCGAAACAAGCGTACCCTTTACAAGGTCTATATACGACCAGTCATGTCCTACGCGGGCCCCGTCTTTGCCCACGCAAACCCTAATATTATAAATGAACTCCAAATAGTTCAGAATCTCTTCTGTCGTCGAGCTGCGAACGCACCTTGGTACGTCCGTAATGCCGACCTTCATCGGGACTTAGAGCTCCCAACAATTCAACAATTTCTAAAAAAACTCTCTGAGAACTTCTTCAAAGCCTCAGAGTCGCACCCAAACCAATTAATTCGTGAGGCAGCCTCTTATGCAGCCCCACCCCCCCTCTCGCTATCGTGTCCGCAGGCCGAGAAACTCTCTCTCGGACCCGCCTAATAAACTGTCAAACGACCTGAACTGTCTCCTGGCGGCTCAGGCCAACTCTAATTAAATTAAATTATTGTAATAACTAACATTAATTTGCCTTCGTAGGCACTCCCTCAGCGGCACTTAGCTGCCTGCGCCCTCTTTTCCCAAAAGAGGGTCGCTCATGATAAGGCACAATACAGCTTAATCAGCCGGCTGCCTGTCCCCAAAGGCGGTTTTTAGAGGGTATCACTTAGGGTCCCCGGTAGGACAGTGAGCCCCTCTTAACCACGATAGACCGGCTATCGTGGTATGCGTAATGCATTTTCCGCCTCCCTACGTATAGGGTAGCCCTTTAATTGCTTCGGGCGCAAAAAAAAAAAAACAAGTGAAACAAACTCCAGTCCTACAACTAACGGAAATGTTTAATTGTGATATATATATATATGTATATATATATATATATATATATATATATATATTTATATATATATATATCAAGAATTGCTCGTTTAAAGGTATAGGATTGCATTGCTTAAAACTTAGGTAGGTACAAATATTCTTTTTGAATTCAAATATTATGTACAATTAAATATTTATACATCCTCTCTATTTGAATTCTTATACAGTAAATTGTTCATAAATTATTAATTGAATTATTACATTATTGTTATATAAATAATATTAAATGTTATATGAGATTAGTGAAGCTATTATTATTTTAATAATACCACTACAGTATAAATTAATTCGCAATTTTAATTACAATCAAATTATAATTTAAAAATCTCAGGCTATTATGCAAATATTACCATTTAACTTATTTTACATTTTAATAAATAAATAATCAATATGAGTTACTAATCGTTTTTAGAAATAAAATGTCAATGTTCATTAATTCCTTAAACTAAATTTTATATATAATACTAGCTGACCCGGCAAACGTTGTTTTGCCATATAAATAATTTCCTAGTAATTTCTAGTGTAGACAAAAAAATAGCTTACTTATTGTAAGTATGTATGTATGTTAGAATGTATATATTGTATGTATGTAAGAATGTGGTATATGCGTGAAATAAGCATGGAGCGCCGTGAACGATGAGGGAATATAAAAATAACAAAAGGCAAACATTATTTTTAAGTTATTATAATTTATTCCTTAAAATTATATATCATTAATTAAACAATTACGACAGTAACACTATTAAACAATATCAATCTCTTAATGCTATAGCGTGAACAATATTTTTTGTTAGTCCATCTTTAGCTAACACAAACAAACTGGATGGTTTACCCACTCGAGAGCATGCCACGTATAATTGTCCGTGTGAAAAACATGGTGTTCTCAAATCTAATCCACAAACAGACATCGTTTGACCTTGGGATTTGTTGATAGTCATTGCAAATGCCAATCTAATCGGAAACTGAATACGTTTGAATTGAATTGGCACATCTGTAGGTATAATAGGAATCCGTGGTATGAGTATATTTTCACCTCTGAACTTGCCATTTAAAATCCTGGCTTCGATCACGTTTTTCATTAATTTTTGAATGACTAATCGCGTACCGTTGCACAGCCGGGGCGGGTTCAAATTACGAAGCAAGATAATTGGAGATCCAACCTTTAATTGTAAATTATGCGGTGGCATGCCTGGCAAATCCAGTGAGTTCAAAAACTCTGTGGGAAAATTTACTGCTTCGCTGTCGTCGCAAACTGTATCAATAGATTTATATGATACCAAGTTCCCTGGCAACAAAATTTGTATCTTCAGATTTAAATTGTCAACGTCTACATTTTTTGCCGCTAAAATCGCTCTTTCTGCAAGCCACTCATGATTTACGTACTGTGTGTGTGCATCGGGAAATATTTGTTCAATGAGAGTATCTTGCGAATCAGCGATTGTGCAGAAATCGGTCGGTAATTTTACGTATCCAGTTTCATCTATAGCAACTTTTCCATCACCGATATCTAAGAGTTGTTTTGAAAATGTTTCAGCGGATGGATCTTGAAGCATTTGAACGCGCATATTTATTTTTAGCTGTAATTTTTCAACATTACGCCACAATGGAGATGATTTTAAGCAAGCGTTGATCTCATCAGCGTATGTTGAACGTGGAATGACTGGAAGTGTTTGTCTGAAATCACCTGAAAGGACCAACAGAGTTCCGCCAAATAGTTTGTCACTGTTTTTAATATCTTTCAATGTCCTGTTCAACGCCTCAAGTGAATGTTTGTGTGCCATAGTACATTCATCCCAAATAATAATTTTACACCGTTTCAGCACAGTGGCCATGGACGATTGTTTCTTAATGTTGCATACTGCGTCAGGGTTATTCTGAATATTTAGTGGCAGCTTAAATACTGAATGAGCTGTTCTACCTCCATCCAATAAAGTTGCTGCAATGCCCGATGATGCAACGGCCAATGCGATGCCATTAGTTGATCGTATTTCAGCAAGAATTAGCGAAATAACGAATGTTTTGCCAGTTCCACCCGGTGCATCCAAAAAGAAGAACCCACCTTGTCCAGCTGAAACTGCGAGCATAATGCGATCATAAATGGTTCTTTGTTCCTCATTCATTAGTGGGACATTGCGGGCAACAATCGCTGCCATTTCTACAGTACTGTACTGCAGTTCACGATTCATTTCAGTATTCATTAAATCAGATGCAGTTCGATTTGGCGAATTCATACCGAAATTACTAAGTGGTAAGTTGGCAATGACAATGCAAAGATCCTCAATAGCAATCAATGCTTCATTGTACATTTTATCGCTGAATGATATGTTGATGCAATATATCATCAGTCATTGAATCTTTGTGATTTTCCCATAATATCTGTGCTCGGGCTGGGAAACATGTAGTCAACACTATAGCGAATAGTAGACGAATTTGTATTGCTGTACAGTTCAATGCAGCTTCAGCAAGCATGCATTCCCACTGGTTGTCGTCTTCCAGCAAGCCGAGTGCAAGGCATGCATCTTTATACGTTGGATATTGTTGCCCATTCACTTTACGTATATCTTGAAATGATAATGGGCCAGTAACATTAACCAACAACAGTCGAAGATAAAAGCACTCCGTGTGTCTTGGATTGACTGTAAATAATCGCCCCAAGGCGTTTGATTTAAATAAATTGAGACATGCAGCAACTGGTGAGCCTTGCTTGCGGGGCATCCATGTTTTTGTTTGAGTCCATGTGAAATAGCGTGGTACTTGTGAATAGAGTAATGTTCGTGCAAAGGCACCAAAATCATCCGCACGATTACACAATTCAAAAAATGCAGTGAGTGTAGTTTTAGGTGGATTTATTGCACGATCAATCGCTGTCTCGTTCGTGAAAAATACACGCTGACCGTTTTCAAGATGGATGGCTAACTGAACAACTGCTGGATCCCGTTCATGAATTGGAAAACCAAAGATACGCCAAGCAGCTTCATTGGAGCTGATGTACCGACCAATTTGGTAGAGCGTTATTTCATCGTTTTTATTCACTGGAGGAGCATTCACATTAGTATTTTCCACTCTAAACACAGCCATATCACTGCCTTTATGGACATACTTGCAAATGTATTTGATGCTCTTCACAGAACTGCAGAACTCAACATTAATATGAGCATTATATGTCTTGCTCAGCAGAGGCGAATATGGCACCACCCAACGATTGTCAATATCAATGTCTGTGTTGATGATATTTTTAATAAATAATTGTCCGCCATTTTCAGGATTTCTTCGACGATATATTGGGTATCCGTCGACATTTGTGACCGTATCATTGGTAAAATCTTTAGGGAAATTTTTAGTACATTTTCCATCAGCCATGCAAGGCGATGAACTATTAAGAGTACCACATGGACCATGAATCATGTTTTTTGTAACAATATCAAACAGCAGTTGGTCAGTGGATGGATCTGGAATTTCCGCAGAAATGATACTATCGATTTCTTCAGGACGGATTTTGTCGATGAACCAAACCAAAATGTGTGCATGAGGTAATCCTCGCTTTTGCCACTCAACCGAATACATCCAGCAACGTGTGGGACCAAATACATGTGATTTAGTAATGAAACTTATTAAAGACTTCAACTTTTGTCTGAACACACGTGCTGTAATGTCATGGCGATGTATTGCATTTTGGCCAGGCAGTAGCAAAGATGTAATCTCTGGCCATTTTGGATTACATGTGAACGTGATAAATAAACATGGTCGTCCATATTCGCGCACGAAAGTCAGAGCATCCTGTATATATTCTTGCATATGACGTGGACTGCCTACGTACGATGATGGTAAAATGACATGGTTACCAATTTCGGCGACGTCGGCGTTGTTGTTGATAGCGTCTCGCAAATGAATGTACTCTTCCGCGCGCAGCTTTTGTTGATTATATCGTAAGTATCGTAGTCGTTCGCTCTCAATCTTCGCGTACATGTCAACCATGAATTGTTGACAAAGCTCACGACATCGTAAAATGACGTTGTCCAGTCCACGTCTAATCATTAATCGGTACGCATAATAATCCTTTGAGCTAACCTTCTTGTTTGTTTCAGCTCCTGTAATATTTGTTCATAAAAATTAATTTAAATTTATTACGTTCAATAATTTAATTGTTTTGTTAAATGATTAATGATCAATTTAATAATCAATGAAGTACCTGATACGGGATCTCGTTGTTTTATGTTTATGCAATATCCGTCTTGTCCCTTCCAGAATATTAGTGGATATTGGAGAGCGTCATATGAACGATGTGTGTCAGCAATGAACTGAAGATTATTATTTCTTCTACGAATCACAATTTCTCGTGCAGCTGTACAATCGCCAACCATGATTCCAGCAACATCATCAACAATGGGTGCATTGAATCTACGAATATGCTCTCCAGCTGGTGTTTTATCAGGATTAATGACGATAGCGTGATTATCGCTTTGTAATTGGTGCATATGTGATTTGAATATTTTCAACAACTCGTTGTGCTCGTTCAAAAGAGCATCTAGCTCGCTGACGATGCGCCTGGCATAAAGTGAATCAAGGTTATTATAATCACAACGTGCATTCACGCGATTGGCAAGTGCGCTTCCGGAATCCTCGCCGCCCATAAAGTAGATTTGTAAGAATTTATGTGGTTCGTTTGGCATTGGCAGCAGTGAGCCCATTTTATGATAAACTTGGCCTCTGATTTTGAATGTAGAATTGAATTGTTGACCATTTGCATTAGTATTTCGAACTATTTCTGTTGCTCCGAACGATGTCATTTGAAAGCATGAATTGAATCTTCGAATTGACTTCAGGAACATGTTAGAATCTGGATCCGTGCCGATAAGTAAGCCGTTCAATGGTTCAGGTGGTGTTTCAATTTCAGGTAGTTGCACTTTTCCTGACGCGCAACACATCCCAGCTGGCTCATTTTTGAATTTCAGAGCATGACAATGCGGACATTCCTTGTCCATAGCACCAATTACCACTTTTGAATGAGCATAATATTCAATATCGGGCTCATACTGGAATGCTAGACGCAGGAATGAATCAGATATAAATGCTCGATGTACCTGTTGTCGTTGTTGGTCGTTTGTTCTTCGTCTACTGACTGTGAAACGGCGTGATTGTCGTTGTTCTAATCTTCTGACTTCATTGCGTTCAGCTCGTGTATCTTCTGGCTCTTCTTGATGCAATTGCGCCATTCTGACACGTGCATCAGTATTTTGTTGCTGGATTTGTTCTTCTGTTCTTTCGGATCTGCTATTTCGCAAGTTTCGAGCTTTACTTGTACTGCGGCTCAAATCAGCCCCTTTGCGTTTTCTTGGCATTGCTCACTGTACAAAACATACATAAATAGAATTAATGAAATTATTTAATGATGAAAAATGTTAAAAGTATAATTAGGGCCAGGATTTTTGCCGCAGTTTTGAAATGATTAGTTTTAATTTATGAAATTATAACAAAAATATAAGTTTTATGGAAAAAAAATTCAAACAAAAGTAAAAAATTTAATTTTATGAAAACATTGTCTCTTATAATTTTTTCATACAACCAATATTTCCATTGACATTTCAAAATAAAGATTCATAATGATTGATTTTTTTGGAAACTATGAAAATCTTAATTGTTCAATTACATTTTTTTTAATAAAATTAAATTAAAATTACATTTTTATAAGATCAACAACATTTTCGATATAAATAAAAAAAGTATACTTACAACACAAAATCCGTTGTTATTGGAAGCTCGTGTCACGTGTTGAGTACTTTTGAGGATATAAAATCACTTGATTAACTAATCGTGCAAAATACACTCGAAATTGATAATTTAATTATTATTGATAAAATAGGAATGATTAAAAGTTAATATGAGAGTTACACTGGGATAGCAAAATAATAATTGTCAACGTTACTACTACAGTTGATGCATAAACAATAATGATGGCCGACAACTGTGTAGGGAGTGAGAAAGAAAGGAGACCGGCTTCGTTCTCATCCCTACTCCGTGCTGTTTACTGGGTCAGAAGTGACACCTGTAGACATCTGGCGGGGATAACTAATTAAATGACGATTGATCAGTTTTCGACCGGAGAGGAAAAATGATTAAATTACTAAAATGGCTATTAAAAAATAAGAGTTGATCGTAGAAGGGTGAAAATTGAGGATTGTATGTATTTTTGTATGTTGTATCATAAAAAAATAGAAATTAAAAATTTTGTCTAAAAAATAAAAAATAAAATTTAGGGGTGGACTACCCCTAGCATTTAGGGGGATGAAAAATAGATGTTGGCCGATTCTCATAGATACCGGATAAGCACAAAAAATTTCATCAAAATCGGTCAAGCCGTTTCGGAGGAGTATGGCAACGAAAACTGTGACACGAGAATTTTATATATTAGATAATAAATTTGACGAATTTATAATTAATTATGTACATAGGTACTATGTTATCTCAAAAAGAAAATTCGTATTCGTAGAAGATGATGAATTGTGGTTTTATCGTTGAAATCCCATATTTTTCTGATTCCAACAGTTTTAAAAACTTTATTGTATTTTTATTATTCCACTCGAAAGGCATTTTGGTAGATCGTACTCATTTAATAACAAGACGGCACGCACGTCCGTTCATCCAGGCGCTTGGCGCGAAGTGAGCGATGGAGCTGAATGTGAACACTCACTGCCGCTCGCGCTCCGCGTCCTTTGACTTCCGCACGAAAAACCAACATTTGAGCGATCGTCGGGCAGTGGCAGCGGCAGCGGCAGTGGCAGCGCGAGTAGCCTGTTTACATACTGACCTACCCACTGCCCTTTACTTCCCTGCCCAACAGGGCTGAATGTAAATGGGGCATTAGAGCGACACCATACTAGATGGAGTGACGACCTGGTAAGACATGCAGGAAGTCGGTGGATGCAGGTGGCTCGGGACCGTACTTTGTGGCTTTGCTTGGAGGAGGCCTATGTTCAGAAGTGGACTTGTGAACTAAGGCCTCGAGTTGTAATGATGATGATGATAATGATAATTAATTAAGCGCATATAATACCCTTTGTATTTGAAACAAACAATAACCAACAACGTAAATTATTCTATCATTAACTCCAAAAACAAATCACGCACACTATAATTATAATCCGGTACTTTTGTTTGTAGACTCTGCTACCCTCATACACGCATTGTTTACCCAGGCCAGGGTTGCCAACTTATAGTCTACCTTACGTTATTTGTCTACTGCAGCCCATGGAATCTTGCATCTAATTCTAAGCAAATTAGGCTGCATATACTTTGTCTACGTGGCTTATGATAGAATGCCCACAACCTCTCGTGATACAATTCTCTATACCCTTCAGACCGGTGCACAGCATTTTTTTGTTATTTAACGGCAGGAATGGGTAAGAAGATGGCACCAATCTAGGCACACTTATAAACAGAAAAGGAGTCCTACCATCTAAATAGCGAGGAATTAAAAAGCTTACAAATATTTTGTTTACCTAATAAATACTTTTGGTCTTTTAGGCCGTTATTAACAGCCAGCCATTTTAATTAAAATGTAATAGTTTCGATTCTATATATTTTTCTCTTTTATTGTATTCACACCCCTATTATAGTAGTATAATAAAATATATAGTAGGGTTCGCAACCCTGTTGGAACCTGAGCTGTTTATCAGTGACGTACAGAATTATTCATTATGTTAGTCACTCTATAGCGTTATTACATGCAGACTAAAACTTCCAGATTTCTTGTTAGTTTTGGAGTTAAATGGTGCGATTAGTTTTATACCGAATTCACTGCGGATTTTTAATAGTATATTAAATTTATTTTATAAATAGTATATTAAATTTATTAATAAGTCGACTACAAAGTCGGCGTCACTTACAATTGGGTTTAAATATTGTGATTTTCGTTTCTGCCTAAAAACGAACATTATATATTGTGAATATCGTCGTGAATCATTCTAGCCCTTCAACCCTCTTAAAATTACCATGCAGACCGCGCGACCGCACCCACCCACAGCACTTTAAACCATTAAAACTTATATTTATAGACTACTTTTCTGTAAAGAAGTATAGCATTATAGAATCTATACGAAATTCTCTAACCTGTGATCAAAAGTCAATCATCAAAAGTCAGTTACGCTATGTATTTTATTTTTATTCTCATGTCAGTTTACGACATTTGCCGACCATACGAAAATGGCGCAATTTTACGGTAAATTAAAAATAAAAATTTATAGAGTAACTTTTGTTGAAAGTATAGAATAGAGAATTTTGTACGGATTCTATAATGCCAAACTTTTTTAAGAAAAATAGTCTATAAATATAAGTTTTAATGGTTTAAAGTGCTGTGGGTGGGTGCGGTCGCATATGACCGCTCGGGATTTGACAGACGCATGCCATAAACACTTTATTTATAGATTACTTTTCCATAAAGAACTTTGGAAATATAGAATCTATACATACAAGGCGGATGTCGGTAGCGTGAAAATTACTATTATATACATTCGTAACAATTTTATACTATAAAAAACTGTTCCTTAGAAAAATCCAAAAATCAACGCAATAATGTATAACAACGAACACTTGACAATGACGCACTTTGAATGTAGATTATAAATGAATATCTACAGACTAACTGAATTTTTGTTCAACTAGAGCATAGAAAATTTCATATTGATTCTATAATGCCAATCTTCTTCATAGAAAAGTAGTCTTTAAATATAAGTTTTATGGGTTATAGCGCTGTGGGAGGGTGCGGTCTCATGAGACCGCTAGGGATTTGACGGAATATGGCCATGGTCTCTTTAGACCGCTAGGGGATTGAGCAGCTAGTTCGTACATATAGAATTTGTTACAACTTGACAACAGCGCCTCCTAGCATATCTATTAAATATGGTCTCGACAAAACATTGAAAATTATCTTATTAGGTCACAGTCATACAAAGGTGACTCACCAACTAAAATAAAATATAAATATATTATATTTGAGCGAATACTCTTGTAATAGTGGAGACGAACTGTCCACTATTAACAGACTCCGAGTGGTTTTCTTTAAGGTGGAGAAATGAAACTACTGTTTATGTTTATGAATGTACTGTCGAATGGGATTCGGAATGGAATATATTTTGCATCAACCTTGCCTATATTTATATGGCTGGCTCACTATTGATTTGCCAATGGTAACAATTAATATTTTGCCTAGCCAATTATATTGCTTATTTTATGACCAATGAAAACTATTTAAAATATACAATTATCTACGTTTCGTTTCCCGGCGTGAGACTTGTTTGTTGTTCACGAAGCTACGTCGCTGGACCGGGCTATATAAGACATGCAGATCGGTGCGCACGCGTAGTCGGCGGGCGGCGGCGGTGTGGAATACAGCTCCGGAACAGCAAGAGGAAACGAACTGCGGCGTTGAAGAAACGGCTCACCATTGGTCGACGGATACGTGACGATAGCGGCGTGTGAAGTCGGTGTGGCGCTGAATGATATTTGCGGCTGCTTTTTGTTTCTTTATAAGAACGTCAAATTATCTATATACCGTCCGCAGTATCTCAGTAGCCAAGAATAATTAGGAAATAAAATGTTTTTTTTATTTATTCTCGCCTTCCGCGTTATGTTAGCAGCGGAGTATATCTTATTTATTCCCGTTTAGGTTTGATTAATCTGGCTGCTACATCACTCTCCCCCCAGCGAAAGCGTACCGGAGGCTTGACGACTCGCCCGTATTTCGTAGTTTTTAAAATAGGTTTCAACTGGGTTGATGTAGATGATGAAGTTTCAAGCTTCCTCGCTGGTGGTTTTGATGATGATGATGAATCCTCTGCAGTATCCTCGTTAATAATATAGGCAGGCTTTAGTCGGTCGATCGATATAATCGTAGATTTCCTTCCGGGTATTTGTAGTTTAAAAGTCTTGCTATTTCTCTCTAATACTTTATACGGTCCATCGTAGGTAGGTTGAAATTGTTTTTTCATTGCGTCGTTTCTTACAAAAACTTGTTTGCATGTTTTCAAATCTTGGTGAATGAATACTGATTTATTATTTCTGTGTGATTGCATTTCGGTGCATTTCAACGATAAGGCTTTGTTAATTGATTCTCGAAGTTTAGTTACGAAATCGTAATCCATTTCTTGTTTGTTTGACGCTGCTGAACTGAAGAAGTCACACGGCAGCCTTATGCTGCAGCCGTAGGTTAGCTGAGCGGCGCTAAGACTAGTGTCTGCACGCGGTGTTGCTCGTAGTCCGAGTAGCACTGTAGGTAGCTCATCAATCCACTTTGTATGTTGAGATAAACGAGTTTTGAGTGCAGTCTTTAATGTACGATGCCATC